TGTTGCCAAGTCAGAATGAACTAAGAGCTGACCCTCCAGTGGGTTTTCTTACTACAGAAGACCAAAGACTATAACCTTCAGTATCGCTTACACTTCAGCATCAAGAAACAAAATTTTTCACCAATGGATCAATAAACAACATCTTGATAGACGGAGAAAAGGTAGATTTCTCCCTCAGAGGTGCTGGCACATTCAAACTGTCAGAGAGGTACCACTTTTGAGTCAGCAGTGCAACTCACTATGGATTATGCTAACAGAGCTAGACTAGCATATATTATTGTTATGTGCTGTCGAGTCACTGCAACTCAAAACGACCCTATGGACATCAGCCCTACACCCTGCTCTATCCTGTGCCAATCTTATTGTCTCTGACACACCTACCCTCATTACCCCAGTCACTAAATCAATCCATCTCACTGAGGGTCTTCCTCTATTCACTATTCTTCCACCCTCCCAAGCACGACATCCAAAGCTTCAGAATCCTTGCCTCCAAGGAGCAGCCTGGTCTCATCCTCTCTAGGATGAACCTGTTTGTTCTCTTAGTAGTCCATGGTATATTCAATACTCTTCTCCAGCACCACAGCTCAAAGGTATCAACTCTCCTTCTATTATCCCCACTCACTGCCCAGATTTCTGATGCATAGCAAGTAATTGCAAAGACCATGGCCTGGATCAGGCACACCTCAGTCTCCAGACTGACATAATTTGCTCTTCAGTACTTTGGAGAGGTCTCTGACAGCAGACTTTCCCAATACAATTAATCTTTTTATTTCCTGGCTGCTGGTACCAAGAGTGTGACTCTGGAGCCAAGCAAACTAAACCTGCTAACAATCTCAATTCTTTCACCATCTATCATAATGCTGCCTAATAGCCCAGTGGAGAATCTTTTTTTGATATTGAGCCTCAATTCATATTGAAAGCTGCAGTCCTTGACCTTCTGCAGCAAGTGCTTTAGATCCTCCTCAGTTTCAGCAGAGTTGTGTCATCTGCATAATGTAGACTAAATTTAGCCTCACAGAGTCCAGCCTTCCAGATGATCTGTTCTGCATATAGATTGAAAAGGTATGGAGATAGAATATCCCTGGCATACACCCTTCCCAAATTTGAATCATTAGTGTTTCCTTGCTCTGTTCTGATGACTACCTCTGGCTACAAGTATAGGTTTAGCATAAGCATGCTCAAATGTTCTCGGATTCCCATTCTTCTCAGAGTTAGCCATAGTCTGTTGTGATCCACACAGTCAAATGCCTTTGCATAGTCAATGAAACACAGATAAGACATTATTCTGGTACTCCATTTTCAGCTAAAATCATCTAACATTATCAATAATATCCCTCATACTACAGCCTCTCCTAAACCCAGTCTGCACTTCTGGCAGTTCTCTGTTGATGTGCTGTTCCAGTAATTTTTGGATAATCTTCAGCAGAATCTTGCTTGCATGTGATATGAATGATACTGTTCGATAATTTCCGCACTCTGTCGAGTCACCTTTCTTTGGAATGGGAATATTAGTGCTCCTATATTTTCTGTGACAATCTTTATAGTTTTGGTTCCACCCCTAAATCTTTAAGTTAGTTTTTTTTTTTTTAATGTGGTGTAGAACATGGATCCTGGTTCAACTTTCTACACACAGTGATGGATCAGGCTTATGTGGCCTTTTTCCTCTTGGTCTTGCAACTCCACCCCATGACTGAACACTACTATGCAAATTATGAGCTTGTAGCACATCAAGAGGATTGGACAGCTTGTTAATAATTTAAGAAGGTACATGGCATCCTTGGAAAGTGTGAAATGGGATCAGGGTTATGTGACATTCTCTAAATTCACACACAGGACAGAATCATCATCAACATCATTCCAAGTCTGATTTTTATAAGAGTCCAGATATGCCTTCTCGTACTGACCTTTTCATCAATTCTGATACTAGCTACTCCTCACACAGCACTTTATTTCTCTCTTGCTTTCAATATCTGGTGCAGTGGCCACAAAATTTGCAGATACTATTCATGATTATGAAGTCATTAGGGAAGTGTGGTTGTTTGGTACCGAATCAGACCAACCCATAGCTGACTCTCCAGTAGGTTTTCTTTTTTTTTTGCAGTTTTTGTAAATGAAAATAATAATATATTCCTTTCAAACAGTTCTCTCCCTCATCTGTTTCCATGCAGTATACATTATTTATCCCCTCTTTTCTTAGATTCCCCCCAAACCCAATGTCAGTCCTGTTTTACAACAGTGGCAGTAGGCAGAATTTGTCCTTTTGTAACCGAGATATTACACTCAGCATAACGTCCTCCAAGGTCGCCTATTTTGTGTATTTCATGAGTTCTTTGTATTTCAATGCAGCATAGTATTCTATTGTGTGAATATACCACAGCTTCTCTATCCATTCATTTATTGACAGGCACTTGGGTTGTTTCTAGCTCTGTGCTATTGTGAACAAAGCTGCAATAAACATGGGTGTGCATATATCTGCTTGGGTAGCGGTGATGGTCTCTTAAGGGTATATTCCCAGTAGTGGAATTGCTGGGTCAAATGGTATTTCTACTTACAACTTTTTGAGAAAGTGCCACACCGCTTTCCATAGTGCTTGCACCATTTTACACTCCCACCAACAGTGAATAAGGGTTCCAATTTCTCCACAATCTCTGCAGCATTTGTTGCTCACTGTTCTGTCAAATTTTGCTAATCTTACGGGGGTGAAATGATATCTCATAGTTGTTCTGATCCAGTGGGTTTTTAGATGCAGTGCATCATACAGGAAGAGACTGCCAATCTTTTTCTCATGAAGTTGCTAGTGGGTACAAATTGCATACCTTTTGATCGGCAATGCAATTCCTCACCACTAAGTGACCAGAGCTCTCTAATACGGAGCTATAATTCAGGATCAGGAATAACTCGGAACACAGTTTTACTGTCAGGAAACCACACCAGTAGGCAGTCCTCTCTTTTGTCCCCTGGTTTCGACTGGGCTGGCCTCTCTTCTATTAAAGTAAGAGTTACAAACTGTTCAGCTGCATTGATTCCTAATAGCACCCTACTTTAATAGAAAGCCTCCTTTACAAGGCATTTAGCTTGTCTTGTTCAGTGGGTTATAGCAAGTCTATTCTGTCTTGCTCCACAAATGAAGAAGCCCTCAATGCTGGTCTTCTGCCACCATTTCTGTCACTATTTTGAATAGGGAGTTCTGGTGGTCTAGTGTTAAGGAGCTGTGCTGTCAACGCAAAGGCATGTAGTTTGAGTCCACCAACTGCTCCATGAGAGACAGAGGGGGAATCTCTTCTTGTGTGACTTATTGCCTCTGAAAACCCACTCACTGGAGGGTCAGTTATGTGTTGGTTCTGACTCACTGATATACAACAAAAGTAGTTTTCAATATCTCATGCCATGTTTACAGGTACAGCTACATCTCCTAGGTCTAGGAGGTACAAGGACATCAAATCCAAAGGATATCCTCCACTCCCAACTCTTCTCTTGGTAGTAGTGAGATCCCTCCATCCACCTCAGGTATGGTTCATTATCAGATGGCAAAACTGATCAATCCCCTCAGAGTTTCATACAATTGACTTATATGGTTCTACTCCCACAATGGTGTCATGAACCTTATTTGCATTATCAAGCCATTTAACCCCCTTGGTGGGCCACACGTATCTCATCTCATAGTCTCTACTAGGCTTTTGATGAGAGTTAAAAGTTCAAAGCAAGAAAGGTTATATAAAAGTAATCCATCACACAGCAGGATGGGCCATGCAATAAAGTATATGGAACCCTACTGAGTGAATTGTTAAGTTTTGCTATACTATAATGTCTTATAATGAGCTAGTCTAGAGTCAGGAAGAGGGGAACCTCACTAAAATCAAGATAAAAGAGCTGGGAATAGGACACATCCTTTGGATCTCCAGGGTCTTTGTGCTGAGTATCTCCTAAACTTGGGAGCCAGAGAATATAACACCAGAGATGGTGAACAATGGTAACAAGCATGGCAGAGCTCTGGTAGTAACAGAACAAAGAGACAGGTGACAAACACTGATGTGCGCTTCCTGGCCTATGAAGTAAGAGAGCGCGTCTATGGGCAGTAGGTTTGGCGACAGAGTTGGGTACTTCTGGGCACTAGGTAGAGTTTAAATTATAATGATAGGCAAGAATACTGAATATTGTATAGACTGCCCAAAAAAAAAAAAAAAAAACAAACAAATCTGTTTTGGAGTAAAGGTAAACAGTGTATTCCTTAGAAGCAAAGATGGTGAAACTTCATCTCACACACTTTGGGCATCCTTTCAAATGGGGCTAGTCCTTGGAAAAGGATATCATGCTGGGAAAGACAGAGTGACTGAAAAAGAAGACCTTTAAGGAGACAGGCTGACACAGTGACTACTACAATGAGACGAGTGTGGTGGAAATTGTGATCATGGTGCAGACTGGAGCAAAGTTTTGATCTGTTGTTCACAGGGTTGCAATGGCACCTAACAATAAAGGAGTTAAGAATGCTGTGGGAGGGATGGCTGGTATAGGAATTAGTTAAAAGATTACAAAGAGGTAGTATGTCTTATCTCTACTTCAGAGGGATCAGCTTAGAACTGTTGGTATTGTTCTTCATTCTCTTCTCTTTCTCTGAAGTTAAAGGACCTCTTATACCAAAACATCAATCAAATCCAAACTAAACCCAAATGCACTGCCAATGAGTCAATTCTATCTCACAGCAAGCCTCCATCATGTTTCTAAGACTATCTTTATAAGAGATAACTGTGCACCTTTTTCTCACAGAGTAGTTGGTGGATTTGAACTGGTGACTTCTCAATTAGCACCAAATGTAGCACCAATTTATCAGAGTGCAAGAACACTGCATTTTCAACACAGCCTTAGAAAACCAAAAAAAAAAACACCAAACCCCTATTAAGTCTGTTAGTATAAAACCAAATCAACATTAGTAAGTTACAATTAATTGTATCTGCCCTGTGTGCCACCTTTATTACAATACATGTTAGTTAGCTTATACCTACCTGACTGGAGGTGTCCATTGCGACATGTCAAATTAGTACTGTCATTATATACATCCGTTTGTGACTTGGAAAATTGCAAAACTGGTTGCAGCTTCTCTATGCAACAAAGGGGGATAAGAAGGGAAAAATAAACAAAAAAGAAAAAATACATAATGAACAGAAAAAAGTGTATGTAAAAATAAAAAATTATTTGAAGGTTAATTTTTTTACAAGAAGGATTCTGCACTTATAGGAAATTATTTTCAAAACTATATCATTAGTAAAAACTCAGACATTAAAATAGCAACAAAAATTAATAAATAAATGGCTGTTAGATTAAAAAGATATCTTTTTATGTTTGTTGTTAAATCATTTTTGTTGTAAGCAAATACCTATTATTTATTAAATCCCTGATATGTCCAAATTCATTGTAATTCAAGGTAATAAAGTCTTTTATACAAATATATTCTATATCCTAGGCATATAAATATATTCTCTATCTTCTAGATTCTTATTAAATATGGTTAAGAACTTAAAATTCAAATACAGTAACAACAACAATAAAAAGGAGAACAAAGACCAAGCACAACATAAATACAACCACTGCAAGACTTGAAAAGGAAGTAACACTACAAGCTGGCTATGACTGAAAAGAATTTTTTTAAAGGACATTTTAAAAAGAACAGGACTTAAAATAGCACAGGAGGAAATTCTAAAGAATATCTAGAAAATGCTTTGTTCACCTATACTACCAAAAATGTTTCCGGAAAATAGAGACAATAAAGCAGAAGAAACATACTGTAGAAGTGTCTATAAAGTACCAACCATTTAAATATATAAATATGGATATAAAAGACTTAAAACATGTAAACATGGACAGACAGGGATCATCTCTTCTTCAGGAACAACAGCAAAGTTGAACAGGGCAACAAACAACAAATGCTGGCACGGTTGTGGATAAACTGGAACTCTTTTTCACTGCTAGTGGGAAAGTAAAATGGTACAGTCACTATGGAAGGCAGTCTGGTGCTTTCTCAAAACGACAAACAGAAATACCATTTGATCCAACAATTCCACTACTGAGGATATACCTTAAAGAAATCAGAGCCATGAGTCAGAGATGTATGCACACCCATGTTTACTGTAGTATTCACTATAGCAAAGAAATGGAAGTAACCTAAGTGTCCCTTAACAAATGAAAAGGATAGGAATACTATAGCTCATTCACACAATGGTATATTATGCAGCCCTGAAAGACCATGAACTCATAAGACATTACACAACATGGCTGAGCCTGGATATTATGCTGAGTGAAATATCTCAGTCACAAAAGGACAAATACTGCTTAACAATGCTATTATAAAATAGGATAGACATGGGGAGGTTAGGGAGAGAATGGGGAAAGAGTGGATAGATAACAAACACTCTAATAGAACAGATGAAGGGAAGAACTGTCTGAAAGGAATATATGACAACAATCTGGAACTAGAGATACATTGCAGTGAGAGCTGGGGGTGGGAACGGGGGTAAAAATGTGTAAGACAATGAATTAAAAAAAACTTATCTCTGAAAAGGAACCAGAGAAACTTGCAATAGTGGCTGTCTGTGGGCAAGAAAAATGAATAATGTGTAGAATGAGAAGGATGCTGTTTATATATAAACTTTCTAAACTGAATGGTATGTGCCTATATTACCTATTTAAGACATTCAGCAATTAAAACTTTGCAAAGACTTATTCAATCCCTACTCCAAAAAACCTCTCAAGATATAGGCCTAACACCTAAAACTTATGCAAGTAACAGTACTTCCATGTCACTCTGTATCACTAACTTCTCTCAACTTTCACTCAAGTAAATCTGTATGGTGGTTGACATAAAAACCATACTCTGCCACTCACTTCTTAGTGGTACTACCCTGCTTCAGTCTCAGTATTCTAAAGTTCCCAAAGTTTAAAAAAAAAAAAAATAACATCAAGTATCTATTTTATGCCTTACCCATAATACGAAATCAATTTTTACCGTATTTATTTTGCTGACCTACTCCAAGTCCTCAAAGTCATTCTTTTCTCTTATACTAGCAAAACAACAAGTATGTGCAAACCCACTGCGTATATATACTCACTCTCCTACACTTCAATTTCTGAGGTGAGACAAGCAGGCGCCATGCTGGGTTTATGGTACAACCACACACACCTTTGGGACAGGTTAAATAGCAGCTATCCTCTCTGCACAAAGCACAGAGTACTGCAGAGCTTTTGTATCCAAGAATTGGCTGATACAATATACCTTGGAGCTGACTAATTTTTTTGTTACCTAACAGGTAGGTCATCTGATTTTTCTCAATGATAATGCTGTTCACCATACTGAGACAGAAACAATTTGTGTTGGTAAAAGACATTAATTGGAACAAACACTGATTTGTATATATTCTCTTCATCAATTAACACTTGTTTCAGTGGAATTAAACAAAAATTCACAAACGTGTTCATTACATAGTATAAATAGTTAGAAATTAAAAGCCTAGGTTTAACAACCAGTACTTGGGTATAAAAAACTAAGTTGCTTTTAACCACATAGAACTTAAATTTATATATGCTGACATATATATACACATGTTGTTGTTCTTATGTGCCGTTGAATCACTTGCAACTCATAGCAACCCTATGTACAAGAGCCCAAAGTATGTCAGACAATGCTTCGAATCCTTGACTCCAAGGAGCAGCCTGGTCTCACCCTCTTTATGACAGATTTGTTTCTTCTCCTAGCAGTCTATGATATAGTTAATACTCTTTTCTAGCACCACAGCTCATTCTAAGTTTAGAAAAAGTCCTGACTGGCCTGATTCCATCTTACAGATATGTAGAGAGATTCTTGTAAAATTTAACTCAGATTATGTCATTCTTTTACTCATAATTTTCATTTCATAAGCTGTAAAAACTCAAATACTCTCCAGGGCCTCTAAATCCTTGTCTTCCTAACTTCAAATACTTCTCTGACCTCACCTGTAATCCCTTTCCTTGCTCAGACTACAAGGAGATACTGGCCTCTTGGCTGCTTCTCAATCATACTATACACATTTTCTTATAGTTATGCATTGACTATTCTTTCTCTCTATTCATTCTTCTCCCAGTTATCTGTAAGGCTAACACATGTCAAGTTATCAAAGAGGCATATCTGATCAATCTACTTAAAAGTAAAATCTTTACTATTTACAATTTGTCTTACTATTTGACTATTTCATACCTATTTACCATCTTCTAATACATTTGAGCTGTTGTGCTAGAGAAGAATGTTGCCCATTCATGGACTGTCAAAGAATAAACAGATAGATTTTAGAGAAAGTGCAAAGAGAGTGTTCTCTGGACACAAAGGTAGTGACATGTCACCTCACATATCTTGGACATGTTGTTATGAGAAGCTATTCCTTGGAAAGGGACATGATACTTAAAAATGTGGAGCATCAGCAAAGGAGAGGAAGACCTTCAATGAGATGGAATGACAGTGTCCATAGAAATGGAGTCAAGTGTGTCGAGGATGATAAAGCTGGCGTAAGATAGGACTCAGTTCAGATCTGTTGTTCTCAGGGCCCCTAAGAGCCATATATGACAATAACAGTAATAAGTTGTATAAGCTCTGTTGGCATACTAGTAAGGCATTCTGGCAGCACAACTAGGCCAGTAAAGCTCCCTAATAAGAAATTAGTCTTATTTGAAAAACAAGTATATAATTGGCAAGATACTTTCAATGTTTTATCATATCAAACTTCAAAAAGATAGAAAGACTACTCTTAGTCAGTTTTAAATATGTAACAAAATATTTTTCAAAAAAAATCAAACTTTTTTTTTCTTGTTGTGTACTGTCGAGTCAGATCCAACTGGCAAAGGAGATTGCCCCTCCTTCTCCAGCGGAGTACCTGGTGGATTTGAACCATGTAGTGCAACTTCTTGTCACTAGGCCCAGAGCTCCCTAAAATCAAACTTATTTGTCATCATGAATCTCACCACTTGATAATATGTATACATTATAAAAGATATTTTAGCACAAAAACATAAAAGCACTAATTAGAACAAATAATTATTTCACTACAACAGCCTTCTGTGTAATATTTCATTATGTTTTAAACAACAGTAATTTTCACTTAGGAATCAAGAATACAATCCTGGCAACCACACAGCCAGGGAACATTGACTTATAAGCCCCCTGAAAGCAACTGCAGCTATTAACTAAATGGAGGGGGGAAAACACAAAGCAAAACCCTGCAAAAAAAGATCATGTAAGAGTAAACGAATGATGCTCATCTAGATGATAACATAACTATGATAAAAACAAAAGGGGGAAATATGGGAAGCCAATACTAAATATTTGTAATAAACTGAATGCTATTTAAATAAAAAAAGAAAAAAAAAGGGTACTTAAAAAAAGAGTAAATGAATGAAAGAAAAAAATACACACACACACACGTATGTAAGCAGGTCTGTATGTATTGTGCCCCACAAATAAAATATAAGAGATTATCAGTTAAACAAAATGAAATATTTAAATGTCTACAATGAATTAGGGTCTTTCAATAATTCAATGGACCATACAAGTATCTATTAAGACTTGCAGGGCAAAGGATATAAACAATGCAAAACAATCTATCCCAAATCACAGCTACAAATAAGTTAGGTCTGCGTGGCTACCAAATATCTACTTTTTTCCCATCACTCCAAGCTTTGTAGTAAAACCACTCAAGTATTGCTTGTGCCAAGTGTTGTCCTACTTTGTTAACTCTGCTTTAGATTCATAAGAATGTGAAAACAAGATGAGCAGTCTCTTCTTCAGGTGTATTCCAGCAAATGAATGAAGAATGACAAAACCATAATGTCATTAGGTATTAGTCATCAACTATTGCAAACATCAGAGGAACAAGGAAGAATTACTTACAAGATAACATACAACCACTACTAAGCAGTCCTGTCAGGTACAATTTATAATGTGACTTTGAATCTGATCAAAGCTCTAGAGCCAACAATCAACAGGGAGAACAGAATACATTAAAAGCTATCATCAAATTATGTGCAGCAGAAATCAAACTGTAGGAAATACTATGCGGCAAATTATCAAGTTTCAGTGATAACAAACTGAAAGAGAAAAAAAATGCATGGACCTGTAAATTAAGTGAATTTAAAATAACCATTCACAATATATACATCATCTTATAACAATTTCTAAAAAACCAGCAAAAGTTATTAAATTACAAGAGAAAATTTACACAATCATCAATTAATTCAGCAATAATTTTTAACATTTAAAGAATTATTTGTTCTTTTTAAAATGTGGTAAAAGTACTTTTGTGATTTTATTTTTGAAGATTCCTTATAATTTAGAGGGGAGTTCTGGTGGCCTAGTGGCAAGAAGCTGCACTGCAAGCCCAGAGGCACACAGTTCAAATCCACCAGATGCTCTGCAGGGTAAGGAAGGAAAATATCCTTCTGTACCAGTCAGATTTGATTTGACAGTACACACAGAAAAAAGGAAGGAAAAAAAAAAAATTCCTTATAATTTAGAAGTACAATATGAAATATTTATAAATGAAGTGGAAAAAGTAAGGAATCTATCCAAAATGTGATGTAAGTATGTGAGCAGGTCAGGTATTATATAATAAAAAAATCTTTCTCTGTAAAGCAATGAACAGTAAATTTTTTTTAAGTGATGTATAGTTTCTTGAATAACTCTTTAACTCTGTTACTGTAGTATAAAAGCAGCCACTGACAGCAAGTAAAAGAATGGCTATGACTCTGTGCCAAAGAAATTTATTTAAAAAACAGAGAAAATGATTTGGTCACAGACTGTAGACTGTCAATCCCTGACAAAGATAAAACAAGAATGATCAGGAACTGATCATTATTAAAGCTGAGTGGGTATATTTAGGAGTCCATTATAACCGTCTATTTTTTCCTACAGTAAGTTTTAAAATCAAGTCTATATCACATTTTCAAGATCCTTGATCAACTAACTCCCTCTCTCTCTCTTTTTTTTAAATAAGCCCTGCCTCTGCAGGACTCTCCAAAATTGGTTGGTTTTGTGCCGTTTAACTCATAATGGCTCCAACCCTGGGAAATCATTAGTAAAAGACCAAAAACTAGTAAGCTCCAGAGTGAAACCTGAGTATGATCAACTCGCTCTCTTTTAAAATTAAAGATTCGTATAAAACTGTTACTGTAGAATGAGAATGAGGATCCAAGGCAGGGGTGAGGGTGGAAATAAGAGGGGTAAGGATGAGAGGGGATGTGTGGTATTAATCGTAGGGCTGAATAATTCAATGGGCGGGTGGAGTGAAGGAAAAGGGAAAGATCTTTTGTGAAAGACAATCTATTCAAACTTTGTAAATAAACCAGAACAAAATAAAAAAATAAAGCATCTCTGAAAACACATTTCAAAAAATAGCTCATTTCCACTTATACAATTCAGTAAATAATACCTAGAAGTTGTAAACGGTCCTTGGCCATAACCAAATTAGTCATCATTTTAGCTTGAAGTCGTCTAGCTCTTTCACACTGTTCGCCTGGAAGAAACAAGCAAAAAGGAATAAAAGCATATACCTGTTTTTAAAAAGCCAAACATTGTACTGAGATAAAATATCACACGAATTCCTCTTATGAGGAATAACAGACTTTTATAAAGAAATTAAGAAAATGTTTTCAAATAATGTCTACTCCCAAAAAATCAATTGCCGTTCATTTTCATGGTTTTAGATCATGAATTGCTTATATATTTAAGGATTAGATAAAAGATATTTTTCACATTTTAAAATCTTTTAAACATCTGTTTTTTTGCTTATTTATTGGTGATTTGCGTGACAAAGCAAATTGGTATTCCATTCAATTATTCATACTTTTATAACATTAATGACAATGCCCATAATGTAATCACACTCTTGTTACATCCTCTCAGTATGTACTATCATTTTCATTAATTCTTCTGTCGTGCCAAAACTCACTTGTGTAATACAATTAGCATCAACTTATAAATGCTATAAGCCAGGCTGTTGTCAGAAGAGAATTCATTGTTTCTACATGCTCAAATTTTATTACAAAAATTAATAATTGTATTTTTATGTTCAAATAAGGCTAAGACAAATTATTCTATAACATTTAAAACCTGTAAATTAAGAAGAGTGTGTCTTATCTTATTTTTTGCTTAATGGTTGAATCAAAGAGATTTTTTTTTAAATTTCAGTAAAATACCATTTTTTCTTAATCCAGTTTATATTTTTCTTATTCTTTCATTCACTTGGTAAGAACAACAAATATATAGAATTCATAGTCAAGCTCATAAATAAACTCATGACCATCTCAAATGGCCAAATTGCTACATTATTCTATGCTGCTGTTACATAAGATGCCAAAAGCCAGAAAAGCAGTGTGGTGGAATGAGTTCCTTTATGTGTAGCATTTTGCAGTAATTCTTGTAAAACCTACTTGATAGATTATTTTCCCCCTCTAAGGATGGAAGATGGAAAAAGAATTGAGGCTGTTAATGATTGCATCTTGCTCAGACCCACAATCAACACTTTTTTTAAGGTTCTAAAATAATTAAACTTTTATTATTATACAGTCTCCCCCAGTCCACTCCACTATACAGCTTTCATTGTTTTTATATATTATTACCAAGGCTGTATGTATTTGCATTTGCTTTAATGGGATTTCATAGCTACTATAATTTTACTATCACTTTATACTTTAGTTAGAATAATTTAACAATTGACCTATTTAAAATGATAGATAGATAGATAGATAGATAGATAGATAGATAGACAGATGATAGATTGATTGATTTGGCTGTTGGCTGGGACTATATGGTGCTGAAAACTAGTTTGAAAGTCATCTACAGGAGCTGGTTCTACAAAAGCTGTTGGCTGGGACTGGTGAGCAGTAAGATGGAATGCTGATTCACTAAGGGAAGTGAGGCAATGTGATAAGGCCTCCTATTTAAAAACATATTAGGGCCCTCGGGCCTGCGGACCTTGGGTCTGGTTTAAATTATTTTTCGTCAAACATTCTTCTAGGTGGTATAGCACTGGTCTGTGCATTGCTGTAGAGAGGTAACTCGTGGTTGCTTGATACTAAACACTATGACACTGATGTGCCAGATGTGATAACAGTTACCCAGGGTGGACAGTGTTTGGTGGAGCTTCCCAATTAAAACAAGCTTGGAAGCAGGAGTGGCATCCACTTCCAAATGGCTTGCTTCTAGAAACTCTATGAATATGGAGAAAAGACCAAAGTTATACAAGTGTTCAGGACTTTCATTCTTGGGTTGCTATGAGTCATCTACAACTTGATGGCACTTAACAGCAACAACACCACCACCACCACCACACACACATATCTCATTAGGTTTATTGTGGTTGATATAGTTGAACAGACTCTGACTCGTAGAGTCTTTACAGACAACAAATCAAAATTTTGCTTGATCTTACTCTATCCTCAAAATCTCTCCAATGCTTAACCAACACTCTTGGCACCAGTGGTCAGGAAATCAAAAGACGAGTTGCTTTAGAAAAATCTGCTGTCAAGGATCTCTCCAGGGCACTACAGAACAACTATGTCAGGCTAGAGACTAAGGTGCACCTGATTTATGCCTTCGTCTTCTACTCATTTAGAGCTGGACAATGACTATGGATGATAGAAGAATCAATGCCTTTGAGTTGTGGTGCTGGAGAAGAGTACTGAACATACTACCATGAACTGCCAAGAGAACCAATAGGTCTGTCCTGGAGAGGGCAAAACTAGTTTGTTCCTTTGTGGCAAGGATTTTGAAGCTGTCTCACATACTTTTGGCCATATTGCCAGGAGAGACCAACCCTTGGAGAAGAACATCATGCTAGGAAAGGTTGAGGTTCAGCACAGAGAGGAAGGCCCTGGATGAGATGGACTGACACAGTGACTATGGCAGTGGGGTCAGGTGTGTCAGAGACGGTGAGACTGACTCAGGATAGCGCAGGGTTCAGAGCCATCAGTCATAGAGTTGTTATGAGTCATAGGGAAATCAATGGCACATAATAAGAATGACCTTCAACAAAGTGGATTGAGCGTGTCAGAGATCATGAGGATGGTCTAGGATAGGGCAAAGTTCCAATCTTTGTTCAAAGGGTCACTATGAATCATAGTGGACTTGAGGGCACCTAACAACAAGAAGCCTGAGGAATTCCCTTTACTCTCGTTTCTATAACAGAAAGTTTGCTACTTTGGTCAGGGTTGGCTGACCTTCCTTGGGTCAGTCCTAGGTGACAGCGTACTCTGTGACTGTTTTTTACAGAGAATGGATAAAAGAAAAGGCAAATAAGGTGAGTTGTAACCTAGATGCACTTACTATACAAACGAATTGTCTGTGGCCTACCAAGGGGACTGGTTAGTTCTAATCAGAGAGATCACCATACCTTGAAATACATGAGGAGTATGTCTATACACATAGCCAAACCCTACCTTTGTCAAAGTAAAAGAAGAAAAAACAACACTTAAGAAGAATTAGCAGAAGGAAGAAAAGTGGCAAGAAACCCAAAAAAGGCTGTCACAGTGGTCAAGGGCTGTAACACTGAACACAATGAGAGGCAGAGAAGGGGCCCTACAACTGCTGGTCATGACAAATACTAAAAGTCACGAGTCCACTTGCTTGCACAGTCCAGAGAAGCTGAGAGAGACAGCCTATATGATTCCTAATCCTGATTTCTGAGTTGTGGTCTGTTGATCTTGATCTTGAGGTGTACTCTATTAATAAACCAATCAGCTGTAATCATAGTCTGTGTAGTGGGAATCCAACTCATGGAAATCAACTTTAGGCTGATCTCATTATTATTCCTCCTGATGTTAGGTAAGTCCAAATGATGCTACTACTGACACTACTTCTATCTAGATTTAACAAATAGTCTATATAAAAAGGGGAGAGGAAATCAACAGAGAAAAATACTAGACACATTTTAATTATGGGATATTAGTTGGCACTAAGTGGTAATTAGCAGCCAACAAGTATCCGGTACTGGATGGGTCTAAGCAGGTTAATTCTCTGTACATCAGGTTCTTCATGTAAAATAAGGACAACAGCCTCTTCAGAATATGAAGTTGTGGTGAAAATGAAATAAGATAATACATATGAAGCATGATGATAGTTAGGCAAATGGCAATAAATACCAGTGATATAGTTCAAGTAAGACTAGACTATAATTTCTACCTTGAGATGTTTGAAAAATAAAGATGAGAAATAACTGTATTAGGTTTAAAAAACCAAGTGTAAATCAAAGTAATTTACAACTCATATCCTAACATACAGTTAAGCACTGTGCACAAGTTTAAAGGGGAGTTTGTAGATTATCCACCTCCTTTTCCTGTATCAACAATGAAGAAAAGGCTACACTTCAAAGACGTGAGTGATCACCAACAGTTGATCTGAAGAAGGTACAGGTAAGTACTGTACAGTTTAACTGCTACAGGGAATGAAGGTTCATATATCTAGTTTAACTTCATCTTTATAATAGGTGACAAAGCATTAACTCTAAGTCCATAAGTGAAGTAACATTTAAAAACCCTCTATTAAGTATCTATAGTAAAATAAAAATATCCTAAAAAACAAAGAAGAAAAATGGATCTGAATTCAGGACAACATGTGAATATAATTTTGGATGGCTAAACAAATCTTACTTTACCTTGTCCAGTAACTATGACTGCTATGCCTTTTTCTAGTTCTTCAATGCCTTTCTTATACCATTCCACAGCTTGCTCCTTTTGTCCTGCTTTAAAACAGAAATAATTATTTGTATATATACCATAAATACCAAAACATTTCCCAAGGTGCACTATTGATATGTAAGGTGTAAAAATTGTGACCCAAAACTAGGAAAACATTAATTCTTACTGTCTTTGCTATCATAAAGTACACTGTGAATTTTCAAAAGGGGAACATATAGACTGTAATTGTTTTCTAAATTTTAGAGTATGCATCCTTTATACATCATATAATGATAATGGTATTTATAATCACTGAAGTTACACTAGAGAGAAAGAAGTTTACTTAGGTGAAATTTATTATAAATGACTAATGTTTAAAAATAATTATTACCATTATTTCAATAAAGTGAGAACAAAAGAACCATGTAACTGTATTCAAATCTGTAATACTCATTGTAAGTTTTTTAAAGTTGTAATTTAATTTTTTCAGTCAATAATTTATACACTTTTGTACCCACAATACAGTCACACTTTTCCCACTTCCCTCCCCCCCCCCGTATTTCTGACTTTCATTAATCATTCTATACCTATGTCTTCTCTTTCATGATAATATGCTGAATGTTCCCTTCACAGTTACTGTCTTTCCTTTCACTCACATTAATAATGTGCCTATTATGCAGGCAGGAAATCAGGAGACGTAATGCATTTGCAAAGTATGCAGTTAGACATCTCTCCAAATTACTGAGGAGTAATGAAGTCAGTTTGAGGACTAAGGGGCATCTGATTCATGCTATGGTCTTTCCAATCCGTTGCTATGCATCTGAGAGCTGGACAATGAATAGAGATACTAGAAGAATTGATGCGTTTGAGTTGTGGTGTTGGGGAAGATCACTGAACATCCACAGACCACCAAAAAAGCAAATAAAGATGTCTGCAGAGAGTACAGCCAGAGGGCTATTTGGAGGCAAGGATAATGAGGCTTTGCCTCACTTACTTTGGGCATGTTGCTAGAAGGGGCTATTCGTCGGAGAAGGAGATGATGTTGGGAAGGGTGGAGGGTTGGCAAAAGGCAGGAAGACCCTCAACCAGATGGACTTACATGGTGACTGCTGCAAGTGTGAAGATGGCACAAGATAGCACAGGGTTCGGATCTACTGTTTATAGGCGCACTATTAAGTGATACTAGATTCAATTGCTCCTAAAAACAACAATCTGGGTTGAAGGCATATAACAACATTATCTGTTGTTGCTGTTGTTGTGTGCCGTTGAGTCGCTTGTGACTCATAGCGACCCTATGTACAACAGCCCTAAACTCTGCTCTGTCCTGTGCCAA